GATCTTGGAGACCCAGACACTATTCAGGGGGTTCAAAACTATTCTGGTGACATCTGTACTACTCTTCTTGCCCAGACATACTATTCTTTGAGAGGCCTGACACTACTTAGTGGCTCTAGACTTCACTCTTGCAGCCTCAGTGCCACTTTCAAGGCAGCAGACATCACTGCCAACACCCCTACACCAGACAGCACACACACGAGTCAGCATCCTAACCTATGTCTGAAAGCACCGTAACCTATGTCTGACAGCAGCACATATGATTCAGACAGCAACCTATGTCTGACAGCAGCATATATGAGTCAGACAGCAACCTAACCTATGACTGATAGCAGTCAGCCAAACCTGACAAGACCTGAAAGCGTATGTAGACTCTCCCTCAGAGACTATTAAGGCCCTTATTGACCGAGGTACACTGGTTACTCTTCCTCCATGTGGCTGCTGCACATCCTGTTATCCTGCAGCAGCACCAGTCAACCTGCAGCAGCACCAGTCAACCTGCAGCAGCACCAGTCAACCTGCAGCACCGGTCAGCCTTCATCAGTCAAACCTTTTCACTTTTTCATTGTTCACTATTCATGCGCCTGCAGTTCACTTGTTTTTTTTCCCATGCCATTTTTTGTAATATTTTTATAAATTATGCAGCCTTGTCGAGGAATAAAGAACTAATTATAGTTACTGGGGCAAGAAACCTCGACTGATACTCAGTCAGCATTATTTTGTATCTTACTAAACGCCCGTTGACTTTATTGATTGGCTTCAGTAAATGTTATATTATGACATCATTCATATTTACTTAATTTGCAATGTCAACATGTGTCACGTCACCTCTGCCACAGCTGGTATAATTGGGAGGAGAATGGTCGCTACTGTGTGTGATGTGATGGTGTAACTAAGAGTGGTTGCAGTGGTTAAGTCAACTGGAATACACTGTGTATTACTTGTATAGTGTTGCGGTTGGAGGTGTAGCAACCATCTTATACACTTAAACCATACCACGGGTGGGGTTTGAACCCGCGGTCAGAGAGTCTCAAAATTCCAGACCGTCGCGTTAGCCACTGGGCCAGCTAGCTTCAATAAGATTCATCTAAGTAGGTATATTTCTACACCATAGGAAGGTTAGTTTTGAGACTCTCTGACCGCGGGTTCAAACCCCACCCGTGGTATGGCTTGTTTGCAGTCGTGTCATTACGATTTCGTGAGTCATCTTATACACTTCAAGGAACACTTCACCTTCCGTCTTGTTAATGTTCTATTCAGAGGAAGAGTTAAACCCGTAAAGATCATTCAGCACTTGGACAAGGCAAAGTAATTCGCTTTTATCCCAGGAATGAAAAAACTAGCTCCAGTTCCATGGCTGAAGAGCCCTTCTCCAAGATCAAGGTTACCCTCCCTCCTTAAAGGGTCAAGATGGCAGGTGGGTGCTTCCATCTTCCTTCATGTACACTGGGTTATCATCAGGGTATAAAAGTTTGAGTGCATACAATAGACTGAATAAAGGCTGATCAACTACATATATTCATCCTAAACTAGAATGTCTGTGAGGAAATCTTTAAAGAATTTGTAAACACCAGCTTTTGGCCTAAACTAATATCTTGTTAGATTACATTTTGTATGCTCAGTGGTAACTAAGTTTTGGAGGAGACTTTTCAGGTAAGAGTTCCGTGTTTCATCCTCTTTTATAGGTGTGTTTTATGTCGTATATACGCTTATAATTCACTCTTTCGTGAACTTCTTCAAAATTAATCTTAGGTCTACAATACGAGGTTGTTGCAGATGATGTGCGCGGCTCCTACCATGTTGTCATTCTTCTCAAGTGACCTTTGCAACCTTTGTCCCTCGTTATTTACTCTTATTTCAGGTCTCCTTAACCCTTTCTCGATTTCATTAACCTTTCACTTCCTGGGGTCGTATTCTTGGACTTATTTGTCTGACCAACTCTGCAGTTTATGCAAGTTATAGGTTTCTATGTTATCTCCAGTGTTTGTTTTCATTAATTTCACATCTGCGTATAATAATACACAGAACTCCCTTCTGGTTAGTGGTTTTTACATTAACCAGAAACAGTAGTGGTCTCAAAAACAATCCTTGTGGAACAGTTTTATTTCATTTGTCCATCGTAATAAAACTATGCTCAACAGGTTTTCCATTACCTTTGCTTTGATTGTCCTCTCCAGTAAACTTACATATTAACGATGTATTTCTACACTTCATCAGTACTCGGCCGTCTACTGTGTTACCTCAATATTAAGCCAACAATCATTGTTTTCCACTGGTCTGGCAGTTGCCATATTTCCATGATTTGTGGCATTTAAGTAGCCGTTTATGCAGGACACTGTATCTCAGTAGCCATGACTACACATTGTCAGTTCCTATGATGTATCCAGTTCAATCAGTAGTTTCTTCCAGTAAGTTACAGGAGTGGTGTTCAGTATTCGTCACTGTAATCTTTCTCACTGTCACTCTCGTGTTGACCTTGTGTTCATCCCGAACACTTTCTTAAATAGTTTCTTCACTTCTTGACAGACCTGGTGAGCTCTCCTTCCTTCTTCACTTTCATTACTTATCTTACCTCCATCTTTCTGCTGTGACTTTGTAACAGTTTCACTTCAGATTTAACCTTTTCCGCTTTACCATTAAATTGCTGCTCTGCGTCTCCTCACCCGAATGTACTTACCTAGATGCATTAGCAGATGTCGAGCCCTTGTTTCTTAACGACGGGTTTCACTGATTACTGGCCTACAGGACCCGATCATATTTACTTTTGAAACTATATTGTTTGTCGCCACCTCTTCATATGTTCTACGTACCACACAAACACTAAAAAAGTACTTCCTAACGTCCCTATGGTCCATTTTCGCCTTTAGCTGGTATGTGTGTCCCCGCCTCACTCTCTCATCATATCCCTATCCACTCTATCTAACCCTCTGAGTAATTTATATGTCATGATTACATATCTCAAGTGTGTGTGTGTGTGTACTCACCTATTTGTGGTTGCAGGGGTCGATTCACAGCTCCTGGCCCCTGTGTGTGTGTGTGTGTGTGTGTGTGTGTGTGTGTGTGTGTGTGTGTGTGTGTGTGTGTGTGTGTATGTGTGTGTGTGTACTCACCTATTTGTACATACTCACCTATTTGTGGTTGTAGGGGTCGAGTCATAGCTCCTGGCCCCGCCTCTTCACTGACTGCTAGTAGGTCCTCTCTCTCCCTGCTCCATGAGCTTTATCAAACCTCGTCTTAAAACTATGTATGGTTCCCGCCTCCATTACGTCACTTTCTAGGCTATTCCACTGCCGGACAACTCTCTGACTGAACATCCTGTCTTTGTCAACCTTGTCTATTTCGTGTCTATTTTCGTGTGTGTGTGTGTGTGTGTACAACTGTGAGTTTCGTGGTGGAGGTGGCTGCCAGTTTCATGGTGGAGGTGACTACCAGTTTCATGGTGGAGGTGGCTACCAGTTTCATGGTGGAGGTGGCTGCCAGTTTCATGGTGGAGGTGGCTGCCAGTTTCATGGTGGAGGTGGCTGCCAGTTTCATGGTGGAGGTGGCTGCCCGTTTCATAGTGGAGGTGGCTGCCAGTTTCATGGTGGAGGTGGCTGCTAGTTTCATGGTGGAGGTGGTTGCCAGTTTCATGGTGGAGGTGGTTGCCAGTTTCATGGTGGAGTGGCTGCCAGTTTCATGGTGGAGGTGGCTGCCAGTTTCATGGTGGAGATGGCTGCCAGTTTCATGGTGGAGGTGGTTGCCAGTTTCATGGCGGAGGTGGTTGCCAGTTTCATGGTGGAGGTGGTTGCCAGTTTCATGGTGGAGGTGGTTGCCAGTTTCATGGTGGAGGTCCCTGCCAGTTTCATGGTGGAGGTCCCTGCCAGTTTCGTGGTGGAGGTGGCTACCAGTTTCATGGTGGAGGTGGCTGCCAGTTTCATGGTGGAGGTGGCTGCCAGTTTCATGGTGGAGGTGGCTGCCAGTTTCATGGTGGAGGTGGTTGCCAGTTTCATGGTGGAGGTGGTTGCCAGTTTCATGGTGGAGGTGGTTGCCAGTTTCATGGTGGAGGTCCCTTCCAGTTTCATGGTGGAGGTCCCTGCCAGTTTCGTGGTGGAGGTGGCTACCAGTTTCATGGTGGAGGTGGCTGCCAGTTTCATGGTGGAGGTGGCTGCCAGTTTCATGGTGGAGGTGGTTGCCAGTTTCATGGTGGAGGTGGTTGCCAGTTTCATGGTAGAGGTGACTGCCAGTTTCATGGTGGAGGTGGTTGCCAGTTTCATGGTGGAGGTGGCTGCCAGTTTCATGGTGGAGGTGGTTGCCAGTTTCATGGTGGAGATGGCTGCCAGTTTCATGGTGGAGGTGGTTGCCAGTTTCATGGTGGAGGTGGTTGCCAGTTTCATGGTGGAGGTGGTTGCCAGTTTCATGGTGGAGATGGCTGTCACTTTGTTCTAGTCAGCTGAGTTATGCAAATTTGATTTCGCCAAAGAAAATTTAATTCTATAATATTAGCATATACTGTAGCAGGAAATTTTCAAAAGTCCAATTTTTAATATTCTTAACTGGCTTGTATATTTATTGTTCATATTTATCAAACTTCCAGCTTACATAATGTCGGCTTTAATGAAGCTTTGTGTTAATAAATATTATCTGCTCTTTTCAAGCTTCAAGCTGCCAAGTTTCTCCCATTGTTTTACCCAATTTAAGATTGTGTCTACACTGCTGGCTTCAATTTTCACTTATATTTACATGTTGAAGGAATGTAAATGTACAAGAACGACAAACATGAAGATCTGAGTAATTACAGTTTCTCTCTCTCTCTCTCTCTCTCTCTCTCATCCTCTACTCCTCTTCCATTTCCAACATCATATATCACCCTCGTATTTTTCTGTTTTCCAGACATGCGTACTTCTACCGATTCGCGAGACATGGTGAGCCTCTGGGCGCAGAGTGTTCGTGGGCCAGATAGGCGTGGGCTCACACGACCAGCACCACTTGGGGACCTACTCTCAGGACGAGGGGTGGACCCTAGCCTGGGCCTCGAGGAAATGCTGGTAGTGCGAGGCCAGGAGGTCGTTCTGGAGTGTGAGGTGGCCGAACACGTCCAGGCCATTCCTGGTGATGACAGTGTTGAGGGCGAGGTGCGATGGTTCCATGATGGTACTCAGGTGAGTCTGTGGTTCCATGATGGTACTGAGTGTGTAGTTGATGGTACTCAGGTGAGTCTGTGGTTCCATGATGGTACTGTGTGTGTAGTTCCATGATGGTACTCAGGTGAGTCTGTGGTTCCATGATGGTACTGAGTGTATAGTTCCATGATGGTACTCAGGTGAGTCTGTGGTTCCATGATGGTACTGAGTGTGTAGTTCCATGATGATACTCAGGTGAGTCTGTGGTTCCATGATGGTACTGAGTGTATAGTTCCATGATGGTACTCAGGTGAGTCTGTGGTTAATGGTATAGTGGCAGGTAGTGTATTAATGGCAGTGTAGTAGGTATTATACTAATGGCAGTGTAGTAGGTATTGTACTAATGGCAGTGTAGTAGGTAGTGTATTAATGGTAGTGTATCAGTGACAGTGTATTAATGGTATTGTAGCAGGTAGTGTATTAATGGCAGTGTAGTAGGTAGTGTATTAATGGTAGTGTAGTAGGTAGTGTATTAATAGGAGTGTAATAGGTAGTGTATTAATGGCAGTGTAATAGGTAGTGTATTAATGGCAGTGTAATAGGTAGTGTATTAATGGCAGTGTAATAGGTAGTGTATTAATGGGAGTGTAGTAGGGAGTTTATTAATGGCAGTATACTAGCTGTAATGACATTGTTGTTCTCCCTCTGTCTCAATAATTTTGATGATAGTAGGGTAACAGAGGAGCAGTCAATAAAGAGGTGTGTGATGATGTCTGCTGGTCCTTGTTGGCCGCTATCATCCTCATCTGTTTCCAACATACTGACACCAACCAAGTTTTCAGATTCACCTTCCAGTATCTTTTTGGCTGCACTCGTGATGGTGGCTGATTTCAACATGTTTACCCCTCACAAAACTGCATCTAGTGAATAATAATTAGTAAACAGACGCTCCATAATGTTGCAGTTGTTTGGAAATGTTGAGTAAGTTTCTCGTTGCTCCGGCCATTTTCAAAAAGAATTATGCAGATGATAATTGATAAATGTTGTAGCAGAATTCAGAGTATGTTGCAGTTAGGATTTTTAATTCCGTAAGTATAAAGGTATATCAGACCTCTCAGAGTTTAAAAATAAGTGCAGTGATGCACCTTCAGGACACTTTTGAAGACAACATTCATCACTACTGACAACATTCATCACTACTGACAACATTCATCACTACTGACAACATTCATCACTACTGACAACATTCGTCACTACTGACAACATTCATCACTACTGACAACATTCGTCACTACTGACAACATTCATCACTACTGACAACATTCATCACTACTGACAACATTCATCACTACTGACAACATTCATCACTACTGACAACATTCGTCACTACTGACAACACATTCATCACTACTGACAACATTCGTCACTACTGACAACATTCATCACTACTGACAACATTCATCACTACTGACAACATTCATCACTACTGACAACATTCATCACTACTGACAACATTCATCACTACTGACAACATTCATCACTACTGACAACATTCATCACTACTGACAACATTCATCACTACTGACAACATTCATCACTACTGACAACATTCATCAGTACTGACAACATTCATCACTACTGACAACATTCATCACTACTGACAACATTCATCACTACTGACAACATTCATCACTACTGACAACATTCATCACTACTGACAACATTCATCAGTACTGACAACATTCATCACTACTGACAACATTCATCACTACTGACAACATTCATCACTACTGACAACATTCATCACTACTGACAACATTCATCGCTACCTGGAGTATACCTGGAGAGGGTTTCAGGGGTGAACGCCCCCGCGGCTCGGTTTGAGACCAGGCCTCGTGGCGACTTCCTCAAGTTTACAACTAACTCCAATTTATATACAAAGTTATTGAGATTAGCCGCTTCCTGAGGACTTGACCATACTGGTTGACGAAGTTTGTGCTTCAAGGTTGCTCTCTCAGTGTACACTCAGCACCACCTGTGACAGTCAAGAGTCAGCACCACCTGTGACAGTCAACAGTCAGCACCACCTGTGACAGTCAACAGTCAGCACCACCTGTGACAGTCAACAGTCAGCACCACCTGTGACAGTCAACAGTCAGCACCACCTGTGACAGTCAACAGTCAGCACCACCTGTGACAGTCAACAGTCAGCACCACCTGTGACAGTCAACATTCAGCACCACCTGTGACAGTCAAGAGTCAGCACCACCTGTGACAGTCAAGAGTCAGCACCACCTGTGACAGTCAAGAGTCAGCACCACCTGTGACAGTCAACAGTCAGCACCACCTGTGACAGTCAACAGTCACTCAGCACTACCCATCACACTGATGGTTGTCATGGAAACATCTCTGGCTCTGCTGCCACGCTCTCATCCTGACAACAAGTTAACTAGTTAAGTGTTCCAACTTGACCTAACAGAGTAGTCAAGGTGCTGAACAAGAACAGTCAAGGTGCTGAACAAGAACAGTCAAGGTGATGAGCAAGAACAGTCAAGGTGCTGAACAAGAACAGTCAAGGTGATGAGCAAGAACAGTCAAGGTGATGAGCAAGAACAGTCAAGGTGCTGAACAAGAACAGTCAAGGTGATGAGCAAGAACAGTCAAGGTGATGAGCAAGAACAGTCATGGTGAGGAACAAGAACATGGTTCACAAGAACATGGTTCACAAGAACATGGTTCACAAGAACATGTTCACAAGAACATGGTTCACAAGAAAATGGTTCACAAGAAACATGGTTCACAAGAACATGGTTCACAAGAACATGGTTCACAAGAACATGGTTCACAAGAACATGGTTCACAAGAACATGGTTCACAAGAACATGGTTCACAAGAACATGGTTCACAAGAACATGGTTCACAAGAACATGGTTCACAAGAACATGGTTCACAAGAACATGGTTCACAAGAACATGGTTCACAAGAACATGGCTCACAGTGTTGCATAATTCACCAGACGTGGAACTTAAATGAAAAATATTAAGAGTTGGCATACCTTACATGTAATTAAAGAGAAGAATGTTAGTTGTACCAGCCAAGACTGGTACACTCTGTGTACTATAGTTGTACCAACCAAGACTGGTACACTCTGTGTACTATAGTTGTACCAGCCAAGACTGGACACTCTGTGTACTATAGTTGTACCAGCCAAGACTGGTACACTCTGTGTACTATAGTTGTACCAGCCAAGACTGGTACACTGTGTACTATAGTTGTTCCAGCCAAGACTGGTACACTCTGTGTACTATAGTTGTACCAGCCAAGACTGGTACACTCTGTGTACTATAGTTGTACCAACCAAGACTGGTACACTCTGTGTACTATAGTTGTACCAGCCAAGACTGGTACACTCTGTGTACTATAGTTGTACCAGCCAAACTGGTACACTCTGTGTACTATAGTTGTACCAGCCAAGACTGGTACACTCTGTGTACTATAGTTGTACCAGCCAAGACTGGTACACTCTGTGTACTATAGTTGTACCAGCCAAGACTGGTACACTCTGTGTACTATAGTTGTACCAGCCAAGACTGGTACACTGTGTACTATAGTTGTTCCAGCCAAGACTGGTACACTCTGTGTACTATAGTTGTACCTAGCCAAGACTGGTACACTTCTGTGTACTATAGTTGTACCAACCAGACTGGTACACTCTGTGTACTATAGTTGTACCAGCCAAGACTGGTACACTCTGTGTACTATAGTTGTACCAGCCAAGACTGGTACACTCACTCTGTGTACTATAGTTGTACCATCCAAGACTGGTACACTCACTCTGTACTATACTCACCTAGTTGTACCAGCCAAGACTGGTACACTCACTCTGTACTATACTCACCTAGTTGTACCAGCCAAGACTGGTACACTCACTCTCTGTACTATAGTTGTACCAGCCAAGACTGGTACACTCACTCTCTGTACTATAGTTGTACCAGCCAAGACTGGTACACTCACTCTGTACTTTACTCACCTAGTTGTACCAGCCAAGACTGGTACACTCACTCTGTACTTTACTCACCTAGTTGTACCAGCCAAGACTGGTACACTCACTCTCTGTACTATAGTTGTACCAGCCAAGACTGGTACACTCACTCTCTGTACTATACTTGTACCAGCCAAGACTGGTACACTCACTCTCTGTGCTTTACTCACCTAGTTCTTCTTACATAGTTTACTCACCTACTTGTACTCAGTTGTACTTAACTACTGTACTCATCTAGTTGTAGTCACCAAGTTGTACTCATCTAATTTTGTGTACAGGGGTTAAATCGCTGTTTTGGTTCTGCCGCTTAACATTTATCAATAGTTTTCCCTGATTCCTGGCCTCCAGGACCCTATCATACCTAGTCTTGAGACTGTGTTAACCTGTTTCTCTCTCCGTCTCATACAGCCTGTCTTTAAGCACACTGTCTAGGTCTAGACTATTTTATAATCCCAGTCATATGTTCCTCCTTGCTTCTAGAATTACCTTTAAATCCTTTAATCTTTCTTCTCAGTCCACTCCTCTGGGTCTGGGATCACTCTGGCGGTGATCCTCTGGGTCTGGGATCACTCTGGCGGTGATCCTCTGGGTCTGGGATCACTCTGGCGGTGATCCTCATGGGTCTGGATCACTCTGGCGGGTGATCCTCTGGGTCTTGGGATCACTCTGGCGGTGATCCTCTGGGTCTGGGATCACTCTGGAGGTGATCCTCTGGGTCTGGGATCACTCTGGCGGTGATCCTCTGGGTCTGGGATCACTCTGGCGGTGATCCTCTGGGTCTGGGATCACTCTGGAGGTGATCCTCTGGGTCTGGGATCACTCTGGCGGTGATCCTCTGGGTCTGGGATCACTCTGGCGGTGATCCTCTGGGTCTGGGATCATTCTGGCGGTGATCCTCTGGGTCTGAGATCACTCTGGAGGTGATCCTCTGGGTCTGGGATCACTCTGGCGGTGATCCTCTGGGTCTGGGATCACTCTGGCGGTGATCCTCTGGGTCTGGGATCACTCTGGAGGTGATCCTCTGGGTCTGGGATCACTCTGGCGGTGATCCTCTGGGTCTGGGATCACTCTGGCGGTGATCTTGGTTGGATCACTCTGGCGGTGATCCTCTGGGTCTGGGATCACTCTGGCGGTGATCCTCTGGGTCTGGGATCACTCTGGCGGTGATCCTCTGGGTCTGGGATCACTCTGGCGGTGATCCTCTGGGTCTGGGATCACTCTGGGGTGATCCTCTGGGTCTGGGATCACTCTGGCGGTGATCCTCTGGGTCTGGGATCACTCTGGCGGTGATCCTCTGGGTCTGGGATCACTCTGGCGGTGATCCTCTGGGTCTGGGATCACTCTGGGGTGATCCTCTGGGTCTGGGATCACTCTGGCGGTGATCCTCTGGGTCTGGGATCACTCTGGCGGTGATCCTCTGGGTCTGGGATCACTCTGGTGTGATCCTCTGGGTCTGGGATCACTCTGGGGTGATCCTCTTCTGGGATCCCTGGGTGATCACTCTGGTCTGGGATCACTCTGGTGTGCTCTGGGTCGGATCACTCTGGTGGTGATCCTCTGGGTCTGGGATCACTCTGGTGGTGATCCTCTGGGTCTGGGATCACTCTGGTGGTGATCCTCTGGGTCTGGGATCACTCTGGTGGTGATCCTCTGGGTCTGGGATCACTCTGGTGGTGATCCTCTGGGTCTGGGATCACTCTGGGTCTGGGATCACTCTGGTGGTGATCCTCTGGGTCTGGGATCACTCTGGTGGTGATCCTCTGGGTCTGGGATCACTCTGGTGGTGATCCTCTGGGTCTGGGATCACTCTGGTGGTGATCCTCTGGGTCTGGGATCACTCTGGTGGTGATCCTCTGGGTCTGGGATCACTTTGGTGGTGATCCTCTGGGTCTGGGATCACTCTGGTGGTGATCCTCTGGATCTTCTCGCGTTTCCTTATATGTTTTATATGCTTATATATTTTTGAAATATAATGTATTTTTTTCACTGCAGATTTGAACACTCTTATTAATTGGTCTGACCTGTGGAATACTGAGGTGACCTGTGGTGACCTGTGTTGGTCTGTCGTGACCAGTTTCGTGTTAAACGTGTGTTGCAGGTGTTGAGTGACCTGCGGGTGAGCATCATGTGTTGTTGACGTGTGTTGCAGGTGTTGGGTGACCTGCGGGTGAGCATCATGTGGACGGGTCGTCTGGTCATGTCTCACGTCATCTCAGCAGACTCCGGTGTGTGGTGGTGTCACCGTTCTGGACGACCTGGACCCAGACGACGACTACTGGTCACGAGTAAGTGTTCACATTCTCTCTCTCTCTCTCTCTCTCTCTCTCTCTCTCTCTCTCTCTCTCTCTCAATTTCTCCAACCATCACATGTTTACACATGTAATGAGCCTCAGAACATATGATAATTTTTGTAAGTTAAAGAAAGTGCAAGTGTTGGCACCGCAACGACAGTGTTGGCACCGCAACGACAGTGTTGGCACTGCAACGACAGTGTTGGCACCGCAACGACAGTGTTGGCACCGCAACGACAGTGTTGGCACCGCAACGACAGTGTTGGCACTGCAACGACAGTGTTGGCACCGCAACGACAGTGTTGGCACCGCAACGACAGTGTTGGCACTGCAACGACAGTGTTGGCACTGCAACGACAGTGTTGGCACCGCAACGACAGTGTTGGCACTGCAACGACAGTGTTGGCACCGCAACGACAGTGTTGGCACCGCAACGACAGTGTTGGCACCGCAACGACAGTGTTGGCACTGCAACGACAGTGTTGGCACCGCAACGACAGTGTTTGCCACCGCAACGACAGTGTTAGCACTGCAACGACAGTGTTGGCACCGCAACGACAGTGTTGGCACCGCAACGACAGTGTTGGCACTGCAACGACAGTGTTGGCACCGCAACGACAGTGTTGGCACCGCAACGACAGTGTTGGCACTGCAACGACAGTGTTGGCACCGTAACGACAGTGTTGGCACCGCAACGACAGTGTTGGCACCGCAACGACAGTGTTGGCACTGCAACGACAGTGTTGGCACCGCAACGACAGTGTTGCCACCGCAACGACAGTGTTAGCACTGCAACGACAGTGTTGGCACCGCAACGACAGTGTTGGCACCGCAACGACAGTGTTGGCACTGCAACGACAGTGTTGGCACCGCAACGACAGTGTTGGCACCGCAACGACAGTGTTGGCACTGCAACGACAGTGTTGGCACCGCAACGACAGTGTTGGCACCGCAACGACAGTGTTGGCACTGCAACGACAGTGTTGGCACTGCAACGACAGTGTTGGCACCGCAACGACAGTGTTGGCACTGCAACGACAGTGTTGGCACCGCAACGACAGTGTTGGCACCGCAAAGACAGTGTTGGCACCGCAACGACAGTGTTGGCACTGCAACGACAGTGTTGGCACCGCAACGACAGTGTTGCCACCGCAACGACAGTGTTGGCACTGCAACGACAGTGTTGGCACCGCAACGACAGTGTTGGCACCGCAACGACAGTGTTGGCACTGCAACGACAGTGTTGGCACCGCAACGACAGTGTTGGCACCGCAACGACAGTGTTGGCACCGTAACGACAGTGTTGGCACCGCAACGACAGTGTTGGCACCGCAACGACAGTGTTGGCACTGCAACGACAGTGTTGGCACCGCAACGACAGTGTTGGCACTGCAACGACAGTGTTGGCACTGCAACGACAGTGTTGGCACTGCAACGACAGTGTTGGCACTGCAACGACAGTGTTGCACCGCAACGACAGTGTTGGCACTGCAACGACAGTGTTGGCACCGCAACGACAGTGTTGGCACCGCAACGACAGTGTTGGCACGCAACGACAGTGTTGGCACTGCAACGACAGTGTTGGCACTGCAACGACAGTGTTGGCACTGCAACGACAGTGTTGGCACTGCAACGACAGTGTTGGCACCGCAACGACAGTGTTGGCACCGCAACGACAGTGTTGGCACCGCAACGACAGTGTTGGCACTGCAACGACAGTGTTGGCACGCAACGACAGTGTTGGCACCTGCAACGACAGTGTTGGCACCTGCAACGACAGTGTTGGCACTGCAACGACAGTGTTGCACCGCAACGACAGTGTTGGCACGCAACGACAGTGTTGGCACGCAACGACAGTGTTGGCACCGCAACGACAGTGTTGGCACCGCAACGACAGTGTTGGCACCGCAACGACAGTGTTGGCACCGCAACGACAGTGTTGGCACCGCAACGACAGTGTTGGCACTGCAACGACAGTGTTGGCACTGCAACGACAGTGTTGCCACCGCAACGACAGTGTTGGCACTGCAACGACAGTGTTGGCACCGCAACGACAGTGTTGGCACCGCAACGACAGTGTTGGCACCTGCAACGACAGTGTTGGCACCGCAACGACAGTGTTGGCACCGCAACGACAGTGTTGGCACCGAACGACAGTGTTGGCACCGCAACGACAGTGTTGGCACTGCAACGACAGTGTTGGCACTGCAACGACAGTGTTGGCACCGCAACGACAGTGTTGGCACTGCAACGACAGTGTTGGCACTGCAACGACAGTGTTGGCACTGCAACGACAGTGTTGGCACACTGCAACGACAGTGTTGGCACCGCAACGACAGTGTTGGCACCGCAACGACAGTGTTGGGCACCGCAACGCATAACGACAGTGTTGGCACCGCAACGACAGTGTTGGCACTGCAACGACAGTGTTGGCACTGCAACGACAGTGTTGGCACTGCAACGACAGTGTTGGCACTGCAACGACAGTGTTGGCACCGCAACGACAGTGTTGGCACTGCAACGACTGTTGGCACTGCAACGACATGGTTGGGAACGACATGTTGCATGCAACGACAGTTTTGGCACCTGAACGACAGTGTTGGTACTGCAACGACAGTGTTGGCACCGCAACGACAGTGTTGGCACTGCAACGACAGTGTTGGCACCTCAACGACAGTGTTGGCACCGCAACGACAGTGTTGGCACCGCAACTAGAGTATTAGATCTGTTTTCTCATTTACTGAAAGTTCTGGAGTCAAGTGACGATATGATTTAGCTAGGTGAGTAGTGTATACTGTGAGTAGTGTATACTGTGAGTAGTGTATACTGTGAGTAGTGTATACTGTGAGTAGTGTATACTGTGAGTAGTGTATACTGTGAGCAGTGTATACTGTGAGTAGTGTATACTGTGAGTAGTGTATACTGTGAGTAGTGTATACTGTGAGTAGTGTATACTGTGAGTAGTGTATACTGTGAGTAGTGTATACCAGCCTGATAAGAAGGGCAAAAAAATTGTATTATGAGAACAGATTATCCAACTTACGAGGTGATATAAAAAAAGACCTGGAAAACCCTATCAGAAATTCTGGGAACAAAAAAGATATCACGAAATAGCGAAATAAAATTAGCAAAATCAGATGAACCCCAACTCCCACCAACAGAAACAGCAAAAACTCAATGATTTCTTCTCCACTATAGGACAAAACCTTGCCAATAAAATCCCAAGCTCAGATAACCCACCAAATGACTGCCTCACCGGCAACTACCCGAACACACTGTTCCTAGCTCCGACTAACCCATACGAAGTCTCCCTTATTATCAACGCACTAAAAAACAAGGCAGGAGATTTAAATACCTTACCACCCTTTATATACAAAAAACTGTCACAAGTGCTATCACCAATCATTGCAACACTCTTTAACAAATCCATTGAATCCTCCACCTTCCCTACAGTACTCAAAATAGCAAAGGGTCACCCCGATCCACAAAGGAGGAGACCAAACAGAGTTGAATAACTATAGGCCAATATCCAACTTACACCCTCTCTCAAAAATCTTCGAAAAATTAATTCATAAACGAATCTACTCCTACCTTATCTCCCAAAACATACTCAACCCCTGCCAATTTGGATTCAGGCCTAATAAAAATACTAATGATGCTATTATACACATGCTAGAACATATATACACTGCAATAGAGAAAAAAGAAGTCCCACTAGGGATCTTCATTGACTTACGTAAAGCTTTTGATACAGTTGACCATGACTTGCTCCACGTAAAATTGTCACACTATGGTATAAGAGGGCACTCCCTCAACTACCTCAAGTCATACCTCAGCAACAGAAGCCAATATGTGTACGCTAATGGGGCAAACTCTTCTGCGCAACCAATTACAGTTGGTGTCCCACAGGGAAGTGTCCTTGGCCCTCTTCTCTTTCTCCTATACATAAATGACCTTCCAAAGCTTCGCAATTACTCAAACCCACACTATTATGCAGATGACACTACATACGTCTTCTCTCACCCGAGCCCAGTCACGCTAGCCAATACTGTAAATACCGAATTACAGAAAATATCTACCTGGATGAGGACTAACAAACTTACACTAAACATTGACAAAAACCTACTTCATTCAGTTTGGTAACAGAGCTACAGATGTCCCTCTTAAACATATGATAAACGGATCACCTATCACAAAGCTAACAGAGGGAAAATTCTTAGGAATCCACCTTGATAATAGACTCAAATTTCGTACACATATACAACAAATTTCTAAGAAAATTTCCAAGACTGTAGGCATAATATCGAAGATACGGTACTATGTTCCACAGTCAGCCCTCCTGGCCCCATATCACTCTCTTATTTACCCCTATCTCACCTATGGAATTTGTGCATGGGGCTCAACAACAATTAACCATCTCAGACCACTAATTACCCAACAAAAGGCTGCAGTTAGAATGATAAATTCTCACTACAGGCAGCACACTCCACCAATATTTAAAACACTCAACCTACTCACCATACAAAACATCCATACTTATTACTGCACCTATTACATACATAGAACACTTAACTCTGATATTAACCTCCCCTCAAACATCTCCTTGCCAACCTCAACAGAACACATGACCATAACACAAGGCACAGATCACTCTTTGATGTTCCTCGTGTCCATCTCACACTATGCAAAAACTCAATGCACATAAAAGGCCCTAAAATCTGGAATTCATTAACTGTAAATATAAAAGAAACACAACCTGTTTATAAATTCAAGTCTCTTCTCAAAGATCACTTACTCACCCAAAACCAAATAAATACTGAATAACTGAACCTTATAAATTGTATATCTTAAATGTTTCTCACAATTATATCACATAAATGTTAAACCTAAAACCCAATCTAACTTTATTATTTTTTAAATACACTACCTAACAGAATACTCCATTCTACTGAATGTACAACAATGCATGCAACCATATGACCTGTCTTTGTAAT